TAACCTTCCTCCTCCCTGCCTCAGAGTTCTCTCCTGGAGGTCTGGTGGCTGGAGCCTGGGCAGCAGGTCAGAAGGACAGGTGCCCACAGTCTGTGGGCTGACCAGTCTTGGGCCCTACACTTATCCAATCAGGCTGTCCTCTGTGGTTTCCTGCTGGGCTCTGCTCCCTGCCCGCAGCCAGGCCTGTGGCCAGGGACTCGCCCCAGAGCCCTACCTGAAAGACTGTGGGAGGTGATGGGGGTTTCTGGGCTCAGAGGGTGGGGACAGGGCTTTTGGACCCCCAGCTCCTCAGCTGGCTCCCAGCCAGGCCTCCACATTGCTCACTTCTGTGATGGGTATAGAGAACTATGGGAACAAAACACAAAGTTAGCCCCTTTGAGACCATTAGGCTTCCTCAGGCAAGAAGCACTGAGGTTACCTCTAAGTGTGACCTTGGCCAGTCAGGCCCAGAAGTCACCTGTCTCAAAGCCTGACTGAAAACTGACTTCTGATCCTTAGGATGGCTCGATCCTCTCACACTCTCTGGCACCAAGGACACCCCTGACATTAACACGTATCCATTGTCTGTCCATCAGCCCAGTAAGCATTTGCACAGTATCTGTTGTATGCTGGGCCCTGTGCTGACAGAGCTAGAGAAACTAACATGCCCTCATGGACTTCACAGTGTGACCATTTCTGAAAAGCCAGTGGGAACAGTAGACAGGTGAAGAAGGGGTAGGCAGGCAGTCAGCCCACTGGAGCCTGAGATACAGTGTGAGCCAGCCTCAGTTACCAGGGCTGTCGGGGTGTGTGTCCTCATGGCAGGGTGGGGGTAGGGAGGTGTTGCTAGGCAGGATCTGGCTGCCCTTGGGTCTGCAAGGATGAGTGGGGGTTCCTGGTGTGCATGGGTGGGCTTCTCCAGAAACCAACCTGAAGACGCCACCCCACTCCTTCCCACTCCCATTTGCACACAGCCCCTGGGGCCTGCAGGGGGAAGGCAGGAAGGTTGTTCCTGAGCCTCCCTGCTCCCACTGTTCCCTTCTCCTCCCCACCCCAGCCCCTAGAAGGCTCAGCCAGGCAGTTAGGAAGGGGATCAGGCACTGACTGGAGCCTCCGGCCGTGCCTTGTGCATGGGTTCCTGGAAGCCATTAGGGGCCTGGGTGGTGCCTGCCCTGCCCCTGTGCCACAGGCTTGCTTAGGATCCTGGAAGGAGTCAGGGGCCCCCTCCCAGCCAAGTCCCATGCCAGTCGGGGTGGTCCCAGAGGCAGAAGATGTGGCTGTGACCCCCTCCCTACCATTCTACTTTAGGGCTTCAGGAAGGGCCCAGCAGAAGGCCAGGCCAGCTCCACTCTGTTAGCTGGCACTTGGGTTTCCTGCCTCCCACTAACCCCCTCCGAAAGCTCACATTGTTTTTCTTTTCCAAGAGTTTCTCCATGTGGATCTGGGCCAGGAAAATGAGGAAAGGGGGAGTGTGAGTGTCTGTGTGTGCAACAGTGTGCATGTGTGAATGATCTAGGGCTGAGTATAGGTCTCTGCTGGCTTTGTGCCTGTCAGTGTGCTGCCCCGTGTGTGTGTGTGTGTGTGTGTGTGTGTGTGTGTCCCCCACAGGTAAGTGTGTTCTCATAGCTGTGTGTGCACATAGGTATCTGTGTGTCTTGCATCTGTGTTTATGGCCTGGAATTTCACATGTGTCTGTAGACATGTCTGTGTGCGCACAGGTGTCTGGATGCTCCTGGATTCGGAAGCCACTGCCTCAGGGCCAAAGCCGAGAAACTGAGTCA